TTCCGTGGGTCATCCCGCGGGTAGTCCCGCGGGTTGTCCTAGTGTCGTTTCTGAGTGTCCCATGGGAAGTCCAAACCGAATTGCGCATCCACTTGCATTCGATACTTCCAATGGCAATCGAACGATGACTCGCATTGCAGGCCGACGTGCGACTCCAAGTGCAACTCGAGATGCAATCCGATGCGCGCTTCAAATTGCAATCGTCAAGCACGTCGAAGCTACTGTGGAAGCATCCAGCATGTAGCTCATAGTACAGCCAACATGGCCATCGACCTGCGCATTCACTTACGATCGACAGCCATGTCGAATTGTTGATGCACTTGCAATCGAACCACGCGGTGATATCTACTGCACCGGACAAGTCCTGGCACTGTCCCCCCCGGGTTGGCGAAGTCTAGTTTTGAGTCGGGGTGAGACGTCACTCCGCTCCGCTGGAACCCCCCAGCAGCATTCAAAAGTGGCGACGGTTTCGCAGATCGCAGCCCCCCCGGGGGATGGCGAGGTTTAACTTAAGTTTGGATGCAGCGTCAGTCCGCTGGACCCCCAGCAGCCGTCGAAAGTGGCGAGGTTTCGCAGTTCGCAGCTCCCCAGGGATGGTGAGGTCTAATTTGAGTCCACGTAAGACGTCATTCCGCTGAACCCCCCAGCAGCATTCAAAAGTGGCGACGGTTTCGCAGGTCGCAGCCTTCTCTGGGATGGCGAGGTCTAATTTGAGATCGCGTAAGACATCATGCAGCCCTCGAAAATGGCGACAGTTTCGCAGACCACAGCTTCCCAGGGATGTCGAGGTCTAGTTTGCGTCCTCGTAGGACGTCGCCCCGCTGGACACCCCAGCAGCCGTCGAACGTGGCGACAGTTTCGCAAGTCGCAGCCTCCCCAGGGATGGCGAGGTCTAAATTGAGTCCGCGCAAGACGTCACTCCGGTGGTGGCAGCAGTTTCGCAGATCGCGGCCCCCCCAGGAACGCTGAGTTGTCATTTGAGTCCGCGTAAAATGTCGCTCCGTTTGGCCCCCCCCAGCAGCCGTCGAAAGTGGCGACATTTTCGCAGATCGCAGCCCCCCAGGGTATAAGTTGAGTCCGCGTAAGACGTCGTCCCGCTGGACCTCCACCAGCCCTCGAAAATGGTGACGGCTTCGCAGATCGCTGCCCCCCAACGATGGTGAGGTTTCATTTTATTCCCGTAGGACGTCACTCCGGTGGATCCCCAGCAGCCGTCGAAAATGGCGACGCCTTCGCAGATCGCACCATCCCAGGGATGGCGCGGTCTATTTTTGAGACCGCGTAAAATGTCGTTCCGCTGGACCTCCAGCAGCCCTCGAATGTGGCGACAGTTTCGCGGATCGCTGCCCCCAAGAGATGGCGAGGTTTAGTTTGTGTCCTCGTAAGACGTCGTTCCGATAGACCCCCAGCAGCCCTCGAATGTGGCGACAGTTTCGCCAATCGCAGCCCCCCAAGAATGGTGTCGAATCTGAGTCTGTGCAGTGCGTCACTATGCTGGACCCCCCAGCAGCCTTCGAAAGTGGCGACAGTTTCGCAGATCGCAGCCCCCCAGGGATGGCGAGGTCTAATCTGAGAGTCCGCGTGAGACGTCACTCCGCTGGACCCCCCAGCAGCCGTTGAAAGTGGCGGCAGTTTTACAGATCGCAGCCCCTCAGGGATGGCGAGGTCTGATGTGAGTCCGCGTAAGACGTCACTCCGCTGGACCCCCCAGCAGCCCTCGAATGTGGCGGCAGTTTCGCAGATCGTAGCTGTCTCAGGAATGGCCAGGTAGTTGGCAAGCTGGCACACAGGAAGGAGCGAGGTGAGAGGCGGGAGAGAAGGGGAGAGGGGGCGGGAGGAGCTGTGCGACCGCAGTATTCTGTCCAAAACGAGAAAACAACGCAGGAGGGTTGGGAGTAATTATTGTTGATCCCCCTCTTCGCGTAACCATTGCACTTGTCCTTGACAGTACTTCGCCCGGGGCTCGCAGCCCGCCCCCTAGTAGGGAAAGTAAGGTGTCACCAATCTGGCTCCTGGTCTATCGGATCTCGCCTGATACGTCCTCACAAGTTATTTGAAAATCGCGCTCTCGCGTGGGACTTCCTCACATGTTATGTAGGAGTCGCGCTCTCGCGTGGGTCTCCCTCGACATTTATTCAGACGCCGCGCCCTCGACACTCAGGAATCACGCTCTCGCTGTGGAACTCCTTGCGATTCATGTGAGACTCGCTCTATCACTCGGGACTTCCTCGTGACTCATGCAGAACGCACGCTTCAACAATCCGCCTGCCCCATGTCCTTCCTTCCATCATTTCTTTTTTCCCTTGCCTCAGGGGCTGCACGATATGCACGTTGCAGGTGAGAACGTAAGGGGCCACGATCGAAGACGAAGAGAGCGGGTATCGAGGTTTTGGGATATACTTGTTGAATGGCACGCGGGCAGATGAGAGCGAATGTCTTAAATTGATTGTCGTTGATGTCGATGTTGATGTTGGTGTTGTTGTTGTTGTTGTTGTTGTTGTTGTTGTTGTTGTTGTTGTTGTTGTTGTTGTTGTTGGTTACTGTTGTTTGTAGTGTTGTTGTTGGTGGTGGTGGTGTTGTTGTGGTTGTGGCTGTTGTTGTTGTTGTTGTTGTTGTTGTGGTTGTTGTTGGTGTTGTTGTTGTTGTTGAACATTATTTATTCTAAAGAATAATTATTGTTGGGACCCCTGGTGCGCGCCCCCCTCGCCGCGCCTAGGCCGCAGCTACATTTTCATCATTTTCGTGAGGAAGCCTCAGAAAAGAGGGTGTGTACAGGATCCGGTTGTTTTGTTGTAATCCGCTTTCCCTTGCAAAAAACAATAGAAAATGACATTTCTTGTTCTAATATAATCAAATTTCAAGAATCCCTTGCAAAAAATAAGGTAAAGTGGACATTCGCGCGCGCAAGACGAAATCCTTCCAAAACCTTAGTGTTCGCAGCGATTTTAACATAAAAACATCAAAAAACCAATGGTTTTTCAACAAAAAATTGTCAAAATCTCATCCCGCGCGCTCTTGCGGATTCGTAGGAAACCCAACACTTTTTAAACATTTCTGTCAAACGGGCTTTTGCGAGCAACTTTTTCGAACTTCTGCAACAACGGTTGCGCACCTGCCAGGGCCATCATCCCTGTCAAATAATACCATGCGGGACACATTCGTTTTTTCTTCGCGCGCGCACGCCGTCGTCGTCGGCCGCGGGGCCCTGAATAGTAGCCACGGTCGTCCGCATGCCACGAAGTGAAGTGTCCGAACGTCATAGGGCGGGAAGCTGGGTGTGGGTGGTGGCGAAGAGTCGTTTGGAAATTTGGTAGAGCTTGAACCGGCCCCCCCACAAAGTGGGGGTATTGCCCGCCTCCTATGAAAACCCTGGCACTGGTGAGAACGGAGTGTCCCCAGTCTTAAATGATTGTTGTTGTTGTTGTTGTTGTTGTTGTTGGTTACTGTTGTTTGTAGTGTTGTTGTTGTTGTTGTTGGTGGTGGTGGTGTTGTTGTGGTTGTGGCTGTTGTTGTTGTTGTTGTTGTTGTGGTTGTTGTTGGTGTTGTTGTTGTTGTTGTTGAAGTATTGCTGATCCCCTCACCAGTGCAGCGTGCGTTTTTTTAATTGAATTGCCCCCCTCGGGTTCGCATCTTGTGCTTCATCAAGCAAAGTCTTCATCGCGCTCTCGCGTGGGACTCCCTCGCAATGTATTCAGACGCCGCGCCCTCGACACTCAGGAATCACACTCTCGCGTTGGCTTTTCTCACGATTTATGTTGGAATCGCTTCCTCGCGACCCATGCAGGGCTCACGCTTCAGCAACCCGCCTGCTCCTTGGCCGCCTAGGCCCGCCTTTCCGACCTGTCCGCTAGGGTCTGCCCGCCCGATCTGCCCGTCTGGTTCTACCACGTGGTTTCTGCTCCTAGCCCCCCTCCTTCTAATTTATGTTGTGCTCCATCCTTCTCCCTCCCACTTCCATCCGTCCTCTCTTCCCCTGTTTTATGGGCTGTGCTCAATGCGCGTGGCAGACAAGGGAGATTACCTGCAGGGGGGTACGATCGAAGACGAAGAGGGCGAGTACCAAGGTTTTGGGATATACGTGTTGAATGGCACGCGAGCAGATAAGAACGAATAGTTTTAAAATGATCGCCGTTGTTGCTATTATTATCATTCTTATCGATTTTTCACTTCTTAACAATGATTATAGCTAATTTCTCCTCCCCAGTGACCATTGTATGTTTCAATTGAGGTTCTTCCGCAGGGGCTCGCAATTCAAAAAAAAAGGGAAAGCGAAGTGTCCCCAGATTGCGCCCTGCCCCCCAGTTTACAACATCAGCGGCTCCCGTCTGATATTTCTGCACAATGTATTCTCACATCGCGCTCTCGCGCGGGACTTCCTCACATGTTATGCAGGACTCGCTGACTCGCATGGGACTTCCTGTAAATGTATTCAGACTTTGGGCCCTCGACACTCGAATTACCCTGTCTCTTTGGCCGTTCTCGCGATTTACTTGGGTATCGCGCTATGTCTCGGGACCTCTTCGTGATTCGTGCAGAAGACACGCTTCAACGACCCGCCTGCCCCATGTCCCTTCCTTCCGTCCGTCCTCTCTTCCCTTGCCTAGGGACTGCACGGGAATGCACGTTGGAGGTGAGAAAGATATACCCCTAAGGGTGTGCGGTCAAAAACGAAGAGGGCGGGTATCGAGGGCTGGGGATATACGTTTTGAATGGCACGCGAGCAGATAGGTACGCACAGTCTTAACCATAGTCTTGTTGTCACTGCTATTGGTGTTGGTTGTTGTTAGCTGTTGTTGCTATTGTTGTTGTGGTTGCTGTTATTGTCGTTGTTGACGTTGTTGTCGTCGTCGTCGTGCCCACCCCCAGGCGCTTCAGGCGCGACACCCCGTGACCCCTGCTTCGGCCCACCCCGCGACCAACGTGCGACTCGCCCCGCGCCCGCTCCCCCCCTCTTACCCGTAATCAATTGCGGGGTGCTATGAAGGGCTGCCGCCAGCTTTATGGATCAAGCCTGGTCCCGTGGTTTGTGGTTTCTGGGCCGCGCTTTCACAAAGAAACGCATCAGACGATCTTTCATGCCGCGGTGCGCCGTCTCGTGGCGCCCCTCTGGGCCCGCAGCACTCGTCCTGGTTCATGTGCTCGTGCCTCTCGTGCAGCGCGGCGCAGAGGCGACAACCGCCGCCGCAGGGGGCAGCGAGAGGCTCGTGGTGGAGGTTGATCAGGAGGGGCGGCCCTCCACGGTGGCCAGGGCCCCAATGATGCGCCGGGCGGGCGACTCCCCCATGGAGGGCGAGAACGAGTACTCGAGCGGCTCGCTCATGGAGGGCGAGGGCGAGGACGAGGACGAGCGCGGCTCGCTCGGCCACAGGGTTGACGATGGTGATTCGCTCATGGAGGGCGAGGGCGAGGGCGAGGATGGCTGGCTGCTAGAGGACAGGGGCGAGGACGGCTCGCTGCTGGAGGGCGGGGACGACGAGTCCTCGGCAAGGAGGCGCGGCAGCTCGCGGCGCAGGCGTAGGCGCCGGCGCGCGGTGCCTCAGCCTCGGCCTCAGAATCGGTCTCAAACACAGTACGGTTACATGCCATACCCTGGCCAGTGCGCGGACTCCAAGAAGAAGGACCTTCAGACGTCAGTACAAAAAGGCGTCAACGACTTGGCAAAGTGCCAGGGCCTCTGCTCGGCAAACCCCAGGTGCTCTGCTGCGGAATGGTACGCCAAAAGTTGGTTATTTTCTCGGTGTCACCTTGTACTGGGGACCACGCCCGCTGTGCAAGGTGTCAAGCGCATCTTGTCCCTCGCCGCCACATGTTTCGTCAAGAAGAGCGTCCCGATCCCGACGCCGAAGCCGACGCCAGAGCCGACGCCGGGGCTGGTTCCAGGGCCGCGGGGGGCTGTTGGGGCTGTTGGGGCTGCAGGACCTGTTGGTGATCCTGGCCCGAGCGGAACTGTTGGCGAAAAGGTCGGGAGACTCCATCTATTCACCGACATCAAGGTTGGCCAGGCCCATCCCGGGCCTAGGGTTGGTGTATACTGTTTTGTGGCCCAGCCAGCGGCCAGAAAACACTGCGCGCCAATCCTTGGCCCATCCTGGGCTGCTCGACCGGTGCTGGTGTGTAGCTGGCGTCCTCCCACAGGGCCCTCCAGGCCCGAAGGGCGACGCCGGCGAAACCCCTGAAGTGTCGGTTGCTGGGCTGGCAACCCTTCCCATTCTCGGTGGCACCGAAGCTCTCTTCCTGGTGGCACTCCTGGTCGCCTACTTCGCGTTCTCGTCGTCGGTGCTGGCCGGGCCCAAGGGGAGCACGAGGCAGCAGGCTGGGCAAGCCGAGGCGGTGGACGTGGATGCGTTTCAGGCCGACGCGGGGGGCATCGGAGAAGCGGACGGCGGGCGAGGCGACGGCGAGGCGCATTAGCCCGCTCGCAGCGCCCCCCGCCCCGCCCCTGACCTGTGGTAGGAGGAGGAGGAGGGGAGGAGGAGGAGGAGGAGGAGGAGAAGGAGGAGGAGAAGGAGGAGGAGGAGGAGGAGAGGGAGGAGGAACGGGGAAGCCTACAACGCGTTGCTCGTGCGCGCTGCAGAGTGCACGGCAGAGTGCCTGATTGGAAAAAGTCCATCCTCCCAGGTCGGAAAAGTCCATCCTCCTCGAGACTGCTTCGTTGGGTCTGGCGATCACCTGGGTTGTCAGGCCCGCCCGCTCGCTCACCCCCCGCCCCCCCCCCCCCCGGATAAACTGACCGTTCAGTTGCGCAGGTCCGAGGGGGGTGCGCAGTACTGCTGCGCGCGGGCATGCGGGGGACTGCCCAAAACGAAGCGGTTCCGTAAGCAGGTTATCGGCATTCTCTCGGGCCGAACAGAAGGGGGGGATAGGGAAGGGGGGGGGGTACGAAATCTGCTGCATATAGCTGGTTTCGGCACCGCCGCCAGGCCCATTCCTCGATACATGGGCGCCTCCCGGCGCCGGGAAAATCAGCCACGTGAGCTGATTCTCAACCCCCCGTTGCTGCTATCCCCCCCTTTCGCCCGGCCCGAATCACCCCGCCGCAGCCCCCACCAACGCCAGCCAGATCATCCGGGCGGTCGCAGAGACGCAGATGCTCGTTGCACGTGAGCGCGGCCCTTCGCCAGAGTGGCCTCTTTGGTGCGGGCGCACGCGCGCTGAGGCTCGACCTCCCCCCGCACCCCGGAAGCCGCGCACCAGAGGGCACTCCTCCTCCTCCTCCTCCTCCTCCTCCTCCTCCTCCTCTGCCCTCTCCTCCTCCTCCTCCTTCTTCTCCTTCTTCTCCTCCTCCCTGGTCCTCCTCCTCCCCTCCTCCTCCTCCTCCTCCTCCTCCTCCTCCTCCTCCTCCTCCTCTCGCCTGGGGTCACTCGTTGCGTGTAGCCGAAAGCGCAACAAAAACAATCCCCAGAGTGCTGGAGCAAGCCCAGTGACATAAACATACGGACTCGGAGGTCCTCGCGGATTTCTAGGATCTGCGCTGGACCCCTCTGGCGCGCTCCTTGCGCCAGGGAGGGGGTCCGGCGCCTATCCGAGGAATTCAAGCAGTGACATAAACATAACAACTCAGAGGTCCGCACGAATTTCTCGGATAGGCGCCGGACCCCCTCCCTGGCGCAAGGAGCGCGCCAGAGGGGTCCAGCGCAGATCCTAGAAATCCGCGAGGACCTCCGAGTCCGTATGTTTATGTCACTGGGCTTGCTCCAGCACTCTGGGGATTGTTTTTTTGCGCTTTCGGCTACACGCAACGAGTGACCCCAGGCGAGGAGGAGGAGGAGGAGGAGGAGGAGGAGGAGGAGGATAAGGAGGAGGAGGAGGAGGAGGAGGAGGAGGAGGAGGAGGAGGAGGAGGAGGAGGGGAGGAGGAGGAGGAGGAGGAGGAGGAGGAGGAGGAGGAAGGAGGAGGAGGAGGAGGAGGAGGGGAGGAGGAGGAGGAGGAGGAGGAGGAGGAGGAGGAGGAGGAGGAGGAGGAGGAGGAGGAGGAGGAGGAGGAGGAGGAGGAGGAGGAGGAGGAGGAGAGGAGGAGGAGGAGGAGGAGGAGGAGGAGGAGGAGGAGAGGAGGAGGGAGGAGGAGGAGGAGGAGGAGGAGGAGGAGGAGGAGGAGGAGGAGGAGGAGAGAGAAGAAGAGAGAGGAGGAGGGGAGGAGGAGGAGGAGGAGGAGGAGGGGAGAGGCAGAGGAGGAGGAGGGAGGAGGAGGAGGAGGAGGATGAGGAGGAGGAGGAGGAGGAGGAGGAGGAGGAGGAGGAGGAGGAGGAGGAGGAGGAGGTCCTCCCCAGCCTCCCTTCTCCCATCTAACCTATTGCAGTGGTGTTGGAAGAGTGGCCCATCGGCAGAAATATGGGGCCCAGGGCTCCGGCTGAGGCTTTTAACCATGCTGGAATTTGTTCGAGACGTCGGATCTCAGGGTCATGGTTTCTTGTTTTCTGCCCGTAGGGCTCCGGAGGCTCTCAAACATACGTACACGCCGTGGGCGAAACACATCGACATATTTGTATCCACGGCCTCGCGCGCCAGGGGGCCCTGGGCCGCGACCCCGCGGACACGAGGCGTTCTGTTCGCGACTGCCCCGCGCGGAACACATCCGTGCGCCCGCGCAGGGTCGGTTCGCGGCGTGTCGACCAGCGGCGACCCCGCCGCCGGCGTTCAGCTTTGAACGCCGCCGGCAACCCGGAATCAGTAGACGTTGAATGACCTGACTCGACTAGACGTAAGAGTGACCTTTCGCCGGAGTGACCTTTGGTGCGGGCACAGATGGGCCCCCAGATGGCCGATCGCGAAGCGGCAGCAGCGGCTAGCGCGCCTGGATTTGGCCTCCCCGCGGCCCCCCAAAAGCCGCGCAACAAAGGTCACTCTTACCCAGGGTCGCTCTTACGTGTAGCCGACTGACGTTTCGGAGACGGCCCATCGCTCAAGGTTGGACGATCCCCGCGGTGTCATAGACCAACGCCGAAGTCGGCACGGCACGAACCTGCCGTACTCGGAGGCGGCGATCAGGGCGAATAGCCCGGGGGCGGGCATCACACCTCTCTGGGAGCCTCGACGAAGGCACGGCTGGATGCACGTGAGGCGTTCCAGAAAAGGCCCGGCCTTCGAGGATCGCCCGAATTGTCATCTCTTCCTCGGCGGAAGGCGGCGGATGGGCGGCGCAAGGTCGGCGGAAGTAAAACGAGGCCGCCGCGGCCGGCGGAAGTCGGCGGACGGCGGAAGGTGGCGGAAGTAAAAATGCGTCCCCAAGAGATGACAACATTGTTGGGTTCAGGGTCTGCAGAATCCGCCATGTATTGCTGCCCCCTGGCCTGTTCGCCCCAATCGAAGTCCCTGAAATACGGGGGGGGTGTTGGTTCAGGAGTGTGCCCAGGAGGCTTCAGACACTGGGGGATTCCTGATCTCATGGAGGCGGCGGTGATGTCCATGGCCCGTCCACGGTTGGAGCCCCACTGGCCTCCAGACCCTGGCTTCCTTCTTCAATGGTTCCTTATCCCATGCCCTGCGCTGCGGTCGCCCCCTGCTCCGGGCTCCGTGGGAGGGCAGGCGACGGAGTGGGGCAGATCTGCTGGAGGGCCAACTGGGAGCGTCGAACCTCCGCCTGCTAATGTGTACTCTGGGTTTCTGAATAAGCGTGGGGGAGACCCCCCCCGACGGGGGTCAACCTCGCCTCGTCGTCGCGCCGCGACGGGTGTCGGAGCGCCTTCAGCGCGCGGTGTCTGCCCGCGACGGTGGTCGATGTGGGGCTGTCGGCGGGGGTGACGCCCCCCCGACGCTTTTCCAGAAACTTGGAGTAGGCCTCCTAGATGGGGTCGGAGGATCGCGCCGCATCGCCGATGCGGCTCGATGTGGAGCCCGTGTATCTCCACGCGGGTGTGGCCGTTTCGTCGCCGACGTCGCCGATGCATCGCCGATACATCGCCGATGCATCGCCGATGCATCGGCGATGCATTGGCGATGCGGCGCGAGCCTTTGACCCCACCTACTCGGACCCCATCCGGGAGGCCTCTATAAGGGCCTTCTGGGGGTCAGGAGCATCAGGAGCGACAAGCAGGGCGTACACGTACATGAATCCACGTTGGTTCTTACAAAAAGGGGTGAGCTCAACCTCTGGAACATTTCTTGTTCGGGAGGTATGTCCTTCTTGGCGTCTCCTGGGTAGCTCCTTTCCAACTTCTTCGTCCAGGCCCGTTTTTGTTGTTCAATGCTGTTTTTTGTCTGTCTTGGTTTGCCCTTTGCTGGCGTTGGCTCCCAGAAGTCTGACCCCCTATGGCAGGCGAATGACTGCCCAAGGCCCCGCGGAGCGGCAGTCGGCGGAGTGGGGCAGGTCTTCTGGAGGGCCAGCTGTCGAAGAGCACTAAATGTTAGGTCGGGCATGTCCCCTTACAGACGGATTTTAGAAACAACTCAACCATAAATCAGATGAAACAACAATACAAAACAATCGTTTTAAAACATCGTACCCAGACTCTTTATGGCCTATTTTGAAATCTTCCGCCTGTAGAGGAACATGCCCGACTTAAACCAGATGGCACACGGCAGGTTCGTGCCGTGTCGACGCGGCGGCGATTCCAGCGCTGGCGTTCGAGGTTGAACGCCGCCAGTGGTCCAGAGTCGGTCAGTGTGCCAATACGGAACGACCTGGCGATCGAGAAGCCGCCGATCGTGCACGGTCTGACGAGCAACGCTGTGGTCAGAAACCAACGCCGGGGTTGTCACGACACGGACCCGCCGTAAGTAGAAGTTCTCGGTGTTCCGCGCGGAGCCGCGGGGAATTCATTATGCTTTGCAGTCAAAATCCGCAGCAAGGGTGCACAACGAGGATGTCAGAGCCTTGGACGTCCAATTTGGATGTTTTTGGACGTCCACATGGGTTCAGGGAGGGTCGAGACAGCAAGGATGTAAGAGTAGCCTTGCACAGCACTGCATCCTTACCGTGGGTTCTGAGTGTCGGCACCCACCAAACCACCCCAACCCAACCCGAAGGCTCAGATTTACCCTCGATTTCTAGTGGGGGGGGGGTCCGCGAACATCGAAAAGACACATATGGAGCCCATACCCCCCCCAACCCGAAATTCGGGTCTTCGGGTTGGGTTGGGGTGGTTTGGTAGGTAGTCAGAGTGCGTGCCGTTCTTGCTGCGCTGTCTCGGCCCCGGGAGGTCGCGATCGGCCCCGCGCCCCGCGCCCCCCTCGGGAGGGCCGCGCCCCGCGGGAGGGCGGGCCGCGAAGCGGGCGGAGCGGGGCAGAATCTCGGAGGCGAACGCACCTACCTCGCTGTTGACCACCGCCTCCTCTTCCTCCTCCTCCTCCTCGATGTCCTGTCGGACGCAGCCGTCCGCTCCTCTTCCTCCTCCTCCTCCTCCTCCTCCTCTTCCTCATGCCCATCCCCATCCTCATCCTCATTCTCCTCCTTTTCCCCCTCCTCCTCTTCCCCCTCCTCCTCCCCCCCACGTGGGACTCCCGCATCAGATTTCTCCAACAATTGGATTGACCTCCATCGGATCCCCCCTCTGTCTCAAACAGCCGCGCTCGGCAGAGGGTCGGAGCCAGACGCCCCGCCCCCCCTGTCGCCCAGTGTCGAAGCGCCGAATGCGCAAGCGTTCACCTGCCCGCGTGGTGGCCCGCAGTGGTGACACGGAGCGGTGCGCGCTCGACCCGCTCGAACGATCCGTCGAGGCTGCTCAACCAGGCGGTGCGTGCCATGACCTGGTACTGCCCAGGGGGAGACAGCGGGGTACACCTCAGGCGATGCTTAAGAAAACTTCAATTTTCGGCCAGAGTCTCGATTATTCTTAACCTTTCAATGTAAATCCTAAGCTTTGAATGGAAATTTTGGGTTTTTATTCAAGTTCTGAGACTATGAATTTCTTAACCCATGATTTCTTAAGCATTTCGCAGGGTGTAGGCTCGCTTGCCTCTCCCGCTCTGCCGGAGAGCCCTCGGCGAGCGTCGCTCGGCGCGCGCGTGCCCGCATGGCCAGTCGGTCGCCCCGCGCGCCCCGCGGCGCCCGCAGGCGACGGAGGGGCAGATCTGCTGGGGGGCCATGGTCGACGGGGAGGCCGCCTGCCGAGGGCGGCGAGGTCTTGGATTCCGGGGCGCGATCCCCGCGGATGCGCGGTCGCACGGATGCATTCCGCGCGGGGCATCCGCGAACGAAGTGCCCCGTATCTCAAGCAGAGGCGAAGCGTCCTGGCTCGCCTATAGGCCGACCAAAGGATGTTCTAAGAGCCCGTTGCGGTCTGCACGGAAGGTTCTTAGACATTTCTGGCCGAGACTGTCTTGTTGTTTTACCGCGTCGGGCTTATGCTCTAAGAAGGAGTGTTCCCTTTTTCGGAATTGTTTTGGGTTGGGGGAATGTCGTGGTAAGCCTATAAGAGTGCCGGGACGGTCGGTCCCTGCTCACGTATCCGCGGGGTCGCGGCCTGCGAGGCCGTGGATACGGAGATGTTCTAGGCCTCCTAGATGGGGTCGGAGTAGATGGGGTTGGAGGATCGCGCCGCATCGCCGATGCATCGCCGGTGCGGTTCGATTCGGAGCCCGATCTGCTTCACGCCGACGTCGCCGATGCACCGCCGACGTCGACGATGCACCGCCGATGCATCGCCGATGCATCACAGATCCATCGCCGATGTATCACGGATGCATCGCCGATGCATCACGGATGCATCGCCGATGTATCGGCGATGCGGCGCGATCTTCCGACCCCATCTATTCCGACCCCATCTAGGAGGTCTATAATGTTATCTCCCATGACTTGCCTGTCTTTGTTTCATCGGAGAGAAAATTGGTGAGAGGAAGACCAGGATGCCCAAGGATGCCGATACCGATGCCCTTCCCCCGTCGTCTCGGCGGGATTCTCTTCGAAATCCTGGTCAGAACGAAACCCAGGAGAGGTCCTGAGAGTAGCGGTGTGTGTGTGTGTGTGTCATTATGTTCTTCCCCAGTGACGACGACGTCGTCGTCGTCGTCGTCGTCGTCCGGGGCGGGCAGGTCAGGGAGGGGGCGGGCAGGTCAGGGAGTAGCGGTGTGGGTGTCATTCTGTCTCCCCCCCGTGTTGCCAGCCCTGCCTCGCTCCCCCTCCTCCTCCTATGCTTCCTCCTCCTCCTCGTCCCCCCCCTCCTCCCCCTCCCCCTCCTCCTCCGCCTCTCCATCCGCGAAGCTGTTGCAAGTGCCAAGCTTCGGGATCCTAAGCGGTGAGAGAGTCTCACGTGAAACGCCCCCTGCCCGCCCTACCGACACGTCCAGGCGTGCGGCAGGGAGGAGTTACCCAGAAAGAAAAGGAATGGAGGAGGAGGAGGAGGAGGAGGAGGAGGAGAAGGAGGAGGCAGGAAGAGGAGGCTAGAGGAGGGAGGAGGCTGGATGCGGAACAGGGTGGAGGAGGACCCCCCCCCGAAGACGAGCAGCTCCCGACCGCCGCCAGCGCAAGTACTACGCCACGGTCGGGCAGATCAACTTCGCGGAGCCCGCCCGGATGGCCGACGCGGGCGTGCACCTCACGTCCCGGGTGCCCAACATGGACGCGGCCCGCGAGGGGGCGAGAGAAGAGGAGAAAGGAGTCGAGGGAGGAGGAGGAGGAGGAGGAGGAGGAGGAGGAGGAGGAGGAGAAGGAGGGGAGGAGGAGGAGGAGGAGGAGGAGGGGACGGTGAGAGCGAGCTCGAGGCACAGAAGCTGGTATCTGCAAACGGCGTCGGCTCTCCGCGCGGGCCTCGGAGAGTCTGCGCCCGCGCGGGCCTCTGGACGTCTGCGTCCATGCCGCGTTCTGCCCTGCCGTGGATGGCTCGAGGGAGCCCAGCGGCGCGCCGAGGGAGGAAGGCAGAGAGGGCCAGGCTTCTGAGAAGGTGGTGGGGCTTCTTCTGAGGCCCTCCCGCCTTCGGGGGGGCCTTCCCCGAGCCCTCTCCAGAGCCGCAGGAGGCTCGCTGGCAGGCGGCAGGGCTTCGGAGAAGCCCCGCCGCCTTTTCTGACAGGGCCCGCTCCCTCGCACTCTCCCCCCCCCCCCCGGGGGGCCGCCGAGGGGCAGGAGGGTGGAAGCGCTTACAATCTGTTTGTTGCTGCAGGCCTCCTGGAGGACCTCCGCGGGGACCTCGGTGATGGCCGCGATTCCAGGGGTGGCTTGCTCGAGGCTGCTTGGCTTCTCGGGCCTCGCGGGGGTGGGGCGGGGCGGGCGGGGGGCGTGCTGCGTGGCCACGGCTGGACTCGGCTCCAAGGAATTGTCAGGAGGGTGTCCAGGAGGGGGGTCCAGGGCGATCTTGAGCGAGAGTTGGCGGGTTGGTGGGCTGGTGCAGCGAGTACCGGGGCCCAGGAGAAGGACCGAGGATCTGTTTCAGTTGGTGCATTGCGGTGACTTGGATCAGTCGCGTGATGCGAATTCGAGGAAGAAGAGGAAGAGGAGGAGGAGGGAGGAGGAGGAGGAGGGGAAAGGGGAGGAGGAGGAGGAGGAGGAGGAGGAGGAGGAGGATGAGGAGGAGGAGGAGGAGGAGGAGGAGGAGGAGGAGGATCAGGTGGGGGGAGGGGACGTCGCACCACGTCACGAAATCCCACTTCATCATGACTAACCGTTGCCGACTCCCCGAGCGGCCAGCAGTGTCTCCACCGAGGGCTGCTGCCCCAGGCAGTGCCTGCCTACCGAGGTGCTTCCTTTGCCTTCTAACCAGCGGAGCCCGCGTGTGGCTCCCGGGGCGGCCCCGTGCCCGTCCGTCGCCGCACGGTTTTTTTCCAAATGGAACCTCCTCCTGCTCCTCCTCCTCCCCCTCCTCCTCCTGCTCCTCCTCATTCTCAGCTTCTCTCGCTGTGCTCCTCTTCTGCCGCCACACGGCCAAGCCCGACAGGCTCGCGGTGAGATACGAGGAGGGCAACAATATCGACATCATCGTGGGGACATCACGCAGACGACACGTCATCACGCAGCACGGCCGCGGCAACACAAGAAACTACGACGCGGGCTGGCAAACAAGGGAAGAGATCAACCACAGCACGGGCACCATCATCGACATCCAGGAGCTGCAGCTCAGTGGAAGAGAGCTCGCGATCACCCCGCATCACGACCAGACGCCGCTGATCATAGGAAACTACAGACCGCCACAGTACTACGCTAAGACGAGCAGAGGGTTCAACTGGATAGAAGAAACCAGAGGACAGAAGCATTGTCGAGGGCGACCTCAACGATACACAGAAAGGAGGACGATCAGAAACACCAGCGCACGAAGAAGGCGGATCGCCCGAACGACTACCAGGCGGAGCGGGACAGAAGACTTGCACCTACGCCGACCGCCATTTCGGAGAGAAGAACGCGAGGTACATCATGATACTCAGGAGCATGACCGAGAAGACGATATCTCAAGGACCCCCGCTATCACGCCGCCGATCCAGACGAGACGTACCAGTGCAAGTGACCTTGCTACGACAACGAATACGACAGCGACCTCAACCAACGAGACGGGGAAAGCACAGCCTCGCGTTCGCAGCTCGACACGGACGACACAGAGGAGAAGTCATCGAGAAGGTAGAGCAGAGGACAGCGGACCCAGCAGGAAAGGGAGTCGATCAGCTCATCACGGACAACACCATCCTCGTAGAGACAGCGCAGAAGCACTACTGCCAGGCGCCGAAACTGACGGACTACCTCGAGAGGCTCACGAATTACAACGAAAGGCGAATCGCACGCCAGCGGCCGAATCGTCGCCTCCCCCGTTTTGCTCGGATGAACTCGAACCCAGGGACCTTCCAGGGACGGTCGTTGGCCCGCCCAGGTCCCAGGAAGAGACAGAGCTGGATGGCAATCCACACGCCACAGACAAACAGCCGATCATGGAGATGCGCGAGAACGAGAACAAGCCGCACGACATCACGAAGAAACGCCAATGGCAACGACGACGAGCACAACAACAACGCACAGAGCAACGAGACGAAGAACAATCACGAGCAGGAGGAAGATACGAACCACGCAAGAGGGACTACTGGACGGTTACTACGACAAATTCCACGAAGCAGGAATGGCATTATTTTTGCATCCAGAGGTGGACCAAGGACGACGAGATAGAGTACGACGAGTTACTGTATGGAAGAAGTGAACTGATCCAATATCCAGTAAACGTGGGGCTGACGAAGTACACGGGCGAAATACGCAAGATCATCTTGAACGGGGAACAGGCCAATTCCAAACTGCTCGCTGACCACAAGATAGACGACACGCTGAACAGACGCCAGAGCGATATCGGCCTGAAGAAAAACCAAGATAAGCAGGAGACGAAGGACCCACTATGCAAACTTCCAGGCGAAGTGGTGGCGGCGGCGCGGTACCTGGGCCCTCAAGTAACATCGACGCAGAGCTACTACCCAGAGTTGCAGAAGCGCATCCAGGCCATGAAGAAGAGCTACCACGAGTGCGGGACCAAGCGGGAGATACCCTACAAGTGGAAGCGCGCGGTCCACATACGCAGGGTCATCAACACGGGGCTTTCGTGCAACGAGTGCTACTTGCCCACGACCAACGAGTACCAGATGCTCCAGAGCGCGACGGGCGCCCTCCTACGATCAACGAGTGCATCAATTGCTACCAGTGCTTCACGAGCCGAAGAACAACGCAAGCTACTACTACGCGTCCACCATGAAGGACAAGTACAATGCGCTCGCCAGCTGCAAGTGACTGACACGGACACGACCAACGGCAACATCATGCAGGATAACTGGGACCACGGAGAACAACGATACCACAGGGCGTTCAACACCGAGCGCAGAGACAGCCTGGAAACACCTGGCCAGGAGCTGGGAGAACAAGTGGACGTGGCCTCGCTCGACAGCCCCCACACCCGCGTGAGGACCGAAATGGCGAACTACACGGGGCGCATGTTCGACGCAGGAGCGGAGTGCGACAACCTCGAGAAATACTACAAGGACGTCATCGGGTGGCAGGGCAGACAAGATAACAGACAGCATCCCAATCTTCTTCGCACGCAAGAACAAGGGCAAAGGAGGGGGCATCACGGAGAAGTGCAGGCTTTAGTTCCAGGCGAAGTCAACGGACACGCAGATGGAGACGAGCCGCAAGATCGGGGCGGCGCCGCACGGAGAACGAGAACTGGGACGTCTCGCCAGAACGACACGGAGAGAGGAGCGACACAATATGATGTGAGTGAGCGGACGGCGCGGCTCTGCCCTGCCCCAGCGAGCGCGGCCCCACAGGCCACCCCATTTTTACGCACCAGCGCACGATCCCACGAGCTGGTCAGGGAAGGACGCCCTCCTCCTCCGCCTCCGATCGTGTCCTCCTCCTACTCCGAGGCCCGAGCTTCTCTGACTAATTCGTCGTGCACCGACTCCCCCGCCCCCACCCGAAGGGCAGAGAAGACGGGGCAGTAGAGGAACCAGCGAGAGGGCACCCGATAGCGGGTGCTACCCTGCCCGCAGACCCCCTGCGTGGGGGAGGACGGTGCAGGTAGGGCCCGAGCGCCTCAGTGGCGCCCGCGACCCCCTTTCAGAAAAGCGACCTCAGCTAGGCCACACAACTTTATTAAGCAGCACAGCGCGCAGCGACAGTGCAGCACCGAACCGGCCCGAGAGCTCGATCGATCGATCGATCGATCCTCCTCCTCCTCCTCCTCCTTCTCCTCTGCCTCCTCCTCCTCCTCCTCCTTCCTCCTGCTCCTCCCCCTCCTCCCCCCCCTCCTCCTCCTCTCCTCCTCCTCCTCCTCCTCTCTTCTCTCCTCCGCGTGCGGGCCCGGCGGCTACGCTGCCGTGCGTCGCCGCCGCCCCGAGGGCGCCCGCGTCCCCGTCCTGCTGCGCGCGTTGCGCTCGCGTGGCGGTTCTGCGCTGCTTTTGCCCTGCCCTGCTAGTCGCACCGTGCTGCAACCTCGGGCCGGGCGAAAGGGGGGGGATTGGGACGACGACGACGACGGACGACGACGACGACGACGACGACGACGGACGACGACGACGACGACGACGACGAGGACGAGGACGACGACGACGTCGTCGTCGTCGTCGTCGTCGTCGTCGTCGGGGGGGCAGGTCAGGGAGGGGGCGGGCAGGTCAGGGAGTAGCGGTGTGGGTGTCATTCTGTCCCCCCCCCGTGTTGCCAGCCCTGCCTCTCGGGCCCGGTCGAAAGGGGGGGATTGGGAAAGGGGGGGGTACGAAATCTGCTGCGTGCAGCTGGTTTCGGCCTCACCGAGGGGGCCATTCCTCGATGCTTCGCCGCCTCCGGCGCCGGGAAGCCCCGGGAAAGTAAGCTACGTGAGCTGATTCTCCCCCCCCCCCTGGTATCCCCCCCTTCCGCCCGACCCGACAACCGCACTGCGCTGCGCTGCGCTGCACTGCTGTGTGTATTTTTTCTGGGTACTGTTGTGCACGGCTTCGCATCGCTTTGCATCGCCTTGCCTTGCTTTGCATCGCCCTGCAGTGCCTTGCATTGCCGTAGCGACTTGGGATTTTGGATCAAAGCACAAAGCAACAAGGCTCAAGGCTCAAGGGGTCAAGCAAAGACATAACGAGCGAAGGCATACCCTCGCAGAGTGCTGTCATCCCTTCCACGCTGCCTACCTGCTCCCGCGATGGGTGGCCCGCAGAGAAGCCCTGAGGGTTATTTCGCGGAGTCTACTGGGCTGCCGGCAAGCGCGGATTGTCCCTCTCCCCAGAGGAGGCGAAATTCGAATAACATCAAACGCATGGCTAAGACATGCGCACTTGACACATCCAGTTCTTCAGGCGCGGCTTCTAGCGACGACGAGGGCAACCTTCCGATCTTGCGGGCCGATGGCTCTCTGTCCGATCAGATGGACAACATGGCCTTGAAGAGCGACCACGACGACACTACGAGTGGCCTGAGGAAGGAGAGCAAATCGTCGGTTTCGGTGGCTACGCAGGAGCTCCGAAGGGGATCGACCCTTCGGTGTCGGCGGCCGTCGATCCCGTCAAGCGCCTCCTAGACGCACTCGACAAGCGCGTGACTCACAGCGAAGCTCATCCTCCTTCTGCTCCGCAATGTTTGTCTTCATTGCCTGCTTTCCAGGGCCTTGTCAACCTTTTCCGCCGAGTTGCTACTGGCTGGCCCGCTGGGGTGTCGGAGGTGTCCAAGGACTGGCAAATGGAGAACTATGTGAAAAACAATGTTCCGTCTTTTCGCCCTGGTGGTTCTGGTAACGAGTTTACTCTTTATTTCAGAGCGTGAATTACCTACCCCGCTTTCGCTTCCAGGCAAAAACAAGCCATACCACGCGCCTCCTCGTCAAGCGGCCTGACCAGTACAGGCTGCAATTTGGCATCGTTTGGTATCTCTTGGAAGCGAGGGTGGTCAAAAGCGAGGTAGTTTCGTTTTCCCCTTATAATTGGCCCTTACCAGAACCAAACACTGTCGAAAGGCTCTCGGGTAGTGTTCTGCAGCCCTGACGTGGCCAGATCTCTTCTGCCCGCCACTGCCTCTTCTCAGGCGCCTTTCACAACTAGATGGCAACACGGTCATCTTGGAGGCTCGTCGACAGAGACCGCCACGACCTCCGGAAGCTGGGGGAGGCGTGGCCTCTGCAGCATGGCTCCTCGAGGCCGCCCCCGCTGGGAGCTCTGGGAGGGCACGGAGTGCCGATACCGCTGCTCCCCGTGGCCTCTCCTGGGGTGCGTCCTGGCCGGGATGCCGAGGCACAGCGCAGCCGCGGCGACGTCGGCACCCGCTCCTCCTCTGACGGGGCTCCTCGGTCGCAAGCAGCAGGGGCCTCCGGGGGGCGGCGCACGGTGGCCGTGGTGGTGTCGCCGGGGTCTCGCGGCGGGGTGGTGCCGCAGCGGTGGTGTGCGAAGGGCAGGCAGGACGGTGGGTGGACAGCAAGTGTCCACACCCATAGCCCCAAGATGCTACGGCATCGAACTGCGTCGAGTAGATGTTCACAGCCCCCGCCCCCCCCAAACCCACAGTTGGCAGGGTTGGATGCGAGGCAACGCGCGGGGGACAACACATGGACACTTCAACTTTGGGTTTGGGGGTGAGGGGGGGTCGAGCCGCATGTATGTTGCAATTGTCGTTGCCATCATACCTGATTGTCTTCACGCTGTTGGCGTGGACGCTTTCTGTCCTGGCACCGGAGGACGAGCTGGAGGCAGGGGGGGGGATGATGAGGAGAACGGTGGGGGACAAAGAGGACGTTGTGGGATGAAGAGGGGGAGGTGGAACACGAGGACCAGGCAGAGGAGGAGGAGGAGGAGGAGGAGGAGGAGGAGAGGAGGAGGGTCATCATCATCATCATCATCAGCATATCATCATCATCATCATCATCATCACCACAATCAGCATCATCGTCATCACCAACAGCGGCATTATCACCATCGTCACCATCATCATCATCATCGTCATCAGAAGCAGCATCATCTTCATGGGCATCACCATCATTGCATCGTCATCATCACCGTCACCATCACCATAATCATCATCACCATCAGTATCATCAGTATCGTCATCATCATCATCATCATCATCATCATCATCATTAGTATTACCATCATCACCATGGACAATCGCATCACCACCATCATCACCATCACCATCACCATCATCGTCATCATACTCGACAACATCAGCATCAACATATTCATCAGCATCATCACCACAGTCATCACCATCATCATCACCATCACCACCATCATCATCATCATCATCGCCATCAGCGTCATGATCACCATCAACATAATACTCTGCATGTCCAGCATCATTATCATCACCGCCATCACCATCGTCATCACCATCACCGCCATTATATACGCATTGCCATCATCGTCATCGTCTGCATCACCACCACCACCATCATCACCACCATCAGCAGCAGAAGTTCCATTATCAGCATCATCAGCAGCATCATCACACCTATCATCATCATCATCATCATCAGCAGCATCATCATCATCATTACAATCATCATCATCATCATCATCAGCATCATCATCATCATCATCAGCATCATCATCATCATTAGCAGCAACAGCATCAACAGCAGCAGCAACATCAACTTCAACATCATCACCATCGTCGTCATCATCAGCATCGTCTTCAGCGTCGTCATCATCAGCACCAGCATCATCAGGAGGAGGCGGAGGAAAATGGACGCCATCTTGGAGAGAGGGCCTGGAGGATCGAGAGGAGGACCATCCTGCAGCAGCGCCCAGGCGGCGTGCCCGACAGCGCGGTGTGCGTCCGCGCGCAGGCGCGCAGGCGCGCAGGCGTGCGCGAGGCGGTTCGACGACGCGAGAGCGGGAGCCCGCCCCCCAGGAGTCGCAGATCGTGATCGCCTTCGCCCCGAACTACGGCAACGCGGAGTACAGGCGCGGTTTGCCGCGAGGGCGAGGGGAAGGGCTGGACGGGAGGTGAGGGCGAGGAGGGGCAGGGTGAGGAGGAGGATGCGCAGGGTGAGGAGGAGGAGGAGGAGGAGGAGGAGGAGGAGGAAGAGGGGTACCGCCTTGCTCGCCAGTGCCGCGCTGGCATAGCACTGGGGTTTCGCCATCCCTCGCGGCTGCGCTGCAGAGCGGGCAGCGCGTTGCAGCGCAGCCGCGCGTGGAATCTCGTCGTCCGCGCTGCCGCGCGGCGCGTGACCAGTGTGACATTTTGCCAGCCGTGCGCAGAGAAAGAAGGCAACAAAAAGAGGAGGAGGAGGAGGAGTAGGAGCAGGAGGAGAAGGAGGAGGAGGAGGAGGAGGGGGAGGAGGAGGAGAAGGGGGAGGGGGCAAGCTAGGTGCGCTCGCGCCATATCTGACATCCTATCCCTCCCCTCCCATCCCTTCCCCATTGCGCTGATTGTTCCCCCCTCCGCGGACGCCTGTCATAGCCGATTCCACAATATGCACAGTCGGACAAAAAAGATTAGATGCTTATGGGACCTGTGCAACCTGGGGGGCCTCTGTGGCCTCTTGGGCTTGTAAGACGTGCGGCACCTGTAGGACCTGTGTAACTTGTGGGGCCTGTGGACCTTGTGGGACCTGTGGGAACCGTGGGACATGTGAGACATGGAAGCCTGTGGAACCCATGGCACAGGCAGGACCTGCGGGACGGGACCTCTGTGGCACATGTGAGACATTGGACACCTCTGAGGCTTGTGGGACATGCGGACACGCGGGACCGGGGCATGCGAGACATGCGACATTTGTGGGACTTCTGGGACCTGTGGAACCTGTCAGACCCGTGATACTTGTGGGACATGCGGGACGACCTGCGACACTTGTGGGACCTGTGGGGCCCATGAGACCTGCGAGACCTGTGCGATCCAGAAACGTGATTCACGCTGGGCCGGGAGCGCACGCCATTCTGAACGACGGGAGCACAGCGCCGATCCGAAAGTGGGGCTCACGTTGCAGCGAGCACCTCTTTCAAAAGGCTGTAAAACATTGGATTGGTAACAACCGCACGAAACGCCAGTTCGCGCAAGTCCTGTGCGTAAAAAAGAAAACAAGACGCACAGGGGGGGCGACCATTCTCTTCAAAACGTCGGGGCAGCGAGGAGAGTAGTACTCATGTTGTGTAGCTGTAGAGGTGAAGGATGAGAAGGATGACAAGGACGAGCAGGAGGTGAGGGCGAGGAGGACCAGGAGGATGCGCACGAGGAGGAAGAGGAGGAGGAGCAGGAGGAGGAGGAGGAGGAGGAGGAGGAGGGCGAGGAGGAGGAGGGCGAGGAGGAGGGCGAGGAGGAAGAGGAGGAAGAGGAGGGCGAGGAAGAGCAGGGGGGGGAGGGCCGAGGCTTCTGGGCGGCTCTGGGCCCTGCCTGTGCCCCGGGGAGGCGCCTCCGGGGGGTCCCCGGCGAGACCTCGTCGAGGAGGGGCAGGGCGGGGAGGAGGGCGAGGGTCGCAGCTGGGCCAGGCATGTCTGCCCATCAGCTATCCTCGTCGTCCTCGTCCTCCCCCTCGTGTTCATCGTCGCCCTGCCCCGCCTCATCCCTCAGTCTCGCTCCTTGGTGCTCGTCCTCGCTCTCGTCCTCGCCATCCTCATCGGCCTCCTCCTCGACGTTCGTCCTCTGCGTCCTTCTCCTCCTCCTCTTCCTCCTCCTCCTCCTCCTTCTCCTCGGGCCCCATTCTCGTCCTCCTCCTCCTCCTCCTCCTCCTGCTTGTCCCTCCCCTTATGTTCCTCTTTGTGTGTTCTCGTTGCGCTCCTCCACTGCTAGGCCTAATCAGCGGCAGCATCGTTTACTGGAGCACATTCCCCTGCGGGTGTCTGATATTGTCCTCCGTGTCCTCATGCTCATGTCTTGCTCCTAACTTGCCCCCTTTTCGTCCCCCCCTTTCACATTATTCCGCCCCCCTCACCCCCACTTCCCTCCACTCCGCCTCTCCCCCACTCCCCATTCCCAGCTCCTGCTCTCCTCCCCTCTTCTCCTTCGTTGCCCCCTCCCCCGTTTTCTGCCGCACCCCTCCCACCCCCTCATCCCATCCCCTGCTCCCTCGCACAATTGTTCGACGTGAGTGCTGCTCTCCTCTTTCCCCCGAAGGTGGCCGGGGTGTCGCCTGCCCCCCCTCCGCGTGTTGCTCCGTGGCTTCACACGCTTACATGTCTAGCGCTTGCTGTTTCGACCGGGACACCCTCGGTGCCTCAAATGGGGGGGCGGCCGCTGCAGCGCATGCCTCATGTCAGGACCGACGCTTTGCGCTCTCGTCGTCCAGCGTGGCGCTCCCGCCCCGGCGTGGGCCACTAGTTTTCTGGATCCGAGTCTTTCTTCGTCGTTGTTGCCCCCTCGTTCCCCCTCCGCCTCTCCCCGGTCCTCCTGCCCTTCCGCTCCTTCTGCGCCAGCTCCTGCCGCTGCTGTTCGTCATTGTCCTCCTCCTTCCCCTCCTCTGCCTCCTGCTCGTCCTTCCGCTCCTGCGCCACCTCCTCATCCACTGTGCGCAGCTCCCCCCCCGTTCGGTTGCGCATGACAGGATGGCGTTCCCTCTGGAGTTTCAGGTCTGCTGTGACACGCGCCGGAGGGTAGCGAAGAACCAGCGTAACGGGAAGGCAAGGGCGGGAGGTTCAGGATGACAGACATGGCACGAGCGCACTCGGCTTGGCCTCTCCCCCTCGCTCCCCCTTGCGCTCCCGCTCTTCTCCCTCTCGCCCCCCCCTCCTCCTCCTCCTCCTCCGCACCCACGCCCCTCCCCCCTGCCCCCTCCTTCCCCCCAGCCCACACTCCCCCCCCTTTCCGCCCTTCCCCCTCTCCTCCTCTTCCCTCCCCTGCCGGCGCCCCCCATCGTCCCTCCTCCGAGCCGCACCGCCGCACGCCCCGTGCGCGAGGAGCTACGACGTGCCGCTGGTGTTGAGGATCGCCGCGGCCCCGCGGCGGGGTCTCCGATGGCTTCGGCCCTGACGGGTTCGGCAAGCGGAGCGGGGAGGAGGGGCCAGGCAGGGGGGCGGAGGGTTCTTTACGCTGGCGCTGGTGAAGCGGACAGCCCGGCAGCAGCAGGCGGCGAACACTCAAGCAGACTACAGTCAACTCGCACAGTAAAGATGGGCAACCTTCCGGAGGGTGCCCTTGCATCCGAAGCGAAAGTTACCATGGATGGTAACTTTCGCTGGCCAACCACGTTCGAAAAACATTAGCATGGCCCTCCAAGACCGTTGCGTTTTTACCGCGTATCCTTATCCTACGGGTGGACTGTATTCCAGGGCAGCGAGAGATGCCAGCTGCCTACGCCAAGTCCCGCCACCGTGCCTGGGTTGTGGGTGATAAGACTATTGGATCTTCGTTGGGATCTCGTGGGAGGCCTCTCGGGGGCCTCTTGGAGGCAGAATTGAGGCCTCTGTGGGGCTGTGTTTGGGCCTCTTAGGGTCTTTTTGGGGCCTCTGCAGGGTCTCTGGGGCCTCTTTTGGACCTCTTTTGGGCCTCTTGGGGGCCTCTTGGAGGCCTCTTGGGGGCCTCTTGAAGCCTCTTAAGGCGGAAGGCTTGCATTTTCGCTTCGTGCTCCTTCTCTTGGGCCCGTTTAGGGGCCGTCTTGGGGCCCTCTTGGGCCGACTTTGGCGCCTCTTGGGCAGTCCTGGGGCGCTCTTAGCCTGTCTTTGGGCCCTCTTGGATGCTTATTGGGTAGTTTTTGGGTGGTCCTGGGGGCCTCATGGGCCGTCTTGGAGCGTCGGGAAGCAGAGAAGGCCAGAACGCCAAAACCTGGCAACAACCCATGGCAAATCAATGATTGTTGCCTCTCGGTGCCCTCTTGGGAGGCCTCTTGGAGGCCTTTTGGGGCGTCTTGGAGGACTCTTGGGCCATCTTGAGGCCATCGTGGGCGTCTTCGAGCGATCGATCGGCGACTCGGGGCCCTCGTCTTGGAACCTCCTGGGCCGTCATGGAAGCCTTGGAGAGCCCCAGGGAGGCGCCATGGCCGCCCAGAGACGCTCCAGGAGTAGGGGGGATGCAATCAGGGAAGCGTGACCGCGGGGTGGGGGGTTCTTGAGAAGACTACAGAAGCCCTGCCAGGCACCCCTTGGCATCCTTCCACGCCTCAACGTGCCGCAGCACGGAGGCGGATTCGGCTACGGGCACTAGGTCAGGCGGGAAGGCATGCGTGCGCACGTGGGCGTGAGCGCAACACAGGGGCAGGTGTAGCACAGGCTGGACCAGTGAAACACAGTGAAGCCAGAAGCCTTGCCAAAAGGCAGGAGTCTGTCGCTGCCAGCTTCTTCTGGACTGAAGAGAGAGAGAGAGAGAGAGAGAGAGAGAGGACAAAAAAGGCTCTGCACGCCTCATCGCCTGCGGGGGACGCGGGAGGCCACAATTCGCTCAGCACGCGCGGCATCGACGTTGGTGGGCGGAGGCCGCGGTGGAGATGGATGAGCAGGAGGTCCTGGGCGTATCCATCTACGCAAACGCAGCAGCAAAATCCCTTCGCGCACTCTGCTGATCATTGGCTCCCAATGGCAGGATACGAAATGATGAGCACACGCTGCACACGCATCAATTTCCACTGCCGCTGCAGTCGCATTCCCAATCCCAAGTCGTATTTGCAAAAAGCTGGCCAGCTGGAGGGCAGCTCTACAACGCGCTCACGGCACACGTCGACAGGCGGATCACGATCCGAGACGCCACCACGAGGGGTCATGAAGTCGCCACGATCGCCAGGCGATACAAGACTTGTTGCTTCGACCGCTGGTTGGGGTCCGAATCCGCAAAGATGCGGGGTGCGGCGCGGCAGTCGCGGTCGGAGTCGGCAGCAACACGAGGGAGGCCACGATCAGCAACTGCAGCACCAGGGACTCCTGGCCGACAAGCGCAATCACCAGGATGAGCTTGATCCGGCGGCTTCGCAGTATATGCGGGCGCGCGGGTCACGGCCAGCGTGGTAACATCCTTGGGCGCAGTGCCCGAGGAAGCCAGTGGCCCTTTTCAGGGGGGGCGAGTCCCGTCGCGAAAGGGTGGTACGTGGGACGAGGGAGTCATTAACATCCGTCATCGAGTCCACGTAGTCTGAGCCGGCAGCGGTGGCGGCTTTTATGGTGTCGGCGCGGACGTAGGCGAGGTTGTCGGGGTCTCGGACAGCGCCAGCAGCAGCAGGCACAGAAGCTGTAGCAATTGAAAAAGACGGCGTCGGCCTCGGTTAAGACGTCGGAGGGGGAGCGCGCGTCGACGTACGCGGCGAAGTGGCCAGCGGCGGCTGGACACTCCTAGCCGGGAGTGGCGGCGGAGCGTGGGCCGGAGGCGGACCTACCCGCATGTCGGCGGCGGGCGAGGCGGGGAAGTGTGAAGGAGAAGGCCTTCTCAGAAGGCGGCGGGGCTTCTCAGAAGCCCTCCAGCTTTCTGAGAAGTATTCTGTGTCTCCGGGGAAAGCTCCGAAAACTTCTCAGAAGGCCGGGGAACTTTGAGAAGGCCCGCCCCTTCTCACTTCTCCCCCGGGGCGCGCCGCCTGACCTGGGAACGGCACCGTGAGCAAGCCTGTTGGCGCCAGCGTGGCCCACAGCACGACCCCAGCCTGGCACTCTCTCTATTTTCGGTCGGCGGCGAGGCAGAGGCAGTCCGCTCCAGCGTGTGGCCATTCGGGGCAGCCGAGAGGCTCCTTGGCCGGCGTGCAAGAGGGGGGGGCACAGAGGAGAGCGGCCGCGCGGGGGGCGGGGGAGGGGCGAGCGCGCAGACGCGGAAGAGTGCCGCGTCGAGCGGGCGGGGGCGGCCGACCGAGAGAAGCCCCAGCGCGGCACAGGAGGGGGGGGCCTCCGGGAGCGGAGGAGCGCCACGGTGGGCTGGGGCCCCCGCAGGCCCGCGCACGGGTGGCCACAGCACCCTTTCCGAGGTCGGCAGCCGACACTGGCCGCGCTGGGGTCAAGTCGGGCCTGCCCCTCTACAGGAGGAGTTTACAGCAATAGTCCAACAATTCTCGGGGGACCAAAAGTATGATTGTTATATTATTTTTTTTGTTTTTTGACTAGATTTCACTTGTCGTCCAAAATCCGCCTGTAGGAGGACACGCCCGACCTAACACTATGGTGGGGGCGTTCGTTATGTGGGCTTCCTGGATGCTTCTTTACGATCAAAGCGATCGTTGGGCAAACCGCTGGTGATCGACCCCACCCAGCGCGTGTCATCCATGTGTTGCTTGCATCGTAGGCCGAGCCGTCTGTGCAGACCAAAGATCCTGAAACTTCCTTTGGCGGCCGCACGGCCCATCGGTAACTGGCGCGTTAGACGATATTCGGGAACTGGGTCCTCTTGGAGTCAGCAAGGCCTCTGGTCCACCTCAAGTCCATCGGCGAACGCCTAGCCTCAACCTCCAGATCTCCAATCCCACAGACCTCATCCCTGCGAAGCAGACCCTGGAGGACTCCTCGCTTGATGAGGGCGGCGGTGATGTCCATGGCCGATCCGCGATTGGAGTTCCGCGGGCTTCCAGACCCTGGGTTCTTTATCCGAGGGCTCCTTGTCCAATGCCCCCACCGTGTGCAGGATCTGGAGTGCGCCCGACTCGAGAGGGCGCTGGAGGCCCAGGTCCTCTTGTTCGAATCGCTCGAGTCGGAGCGTGCCTCGCCGCGGCGGCTGGACCCACAGCGAGAAGCTGTGAGAGCGGCGCTCGCGGCCCTGGAGCACGCCAGGCGACAGGGCGACTCGTGAAGGAGGTCGTGGGCATCGTGCGGCCGCTAGACGTGCCTTGCCCTTTCGCCCTCCTTCCCCTTGTAGAATTGAAAGCATGACCACGCGCCTGCTCGCGGGTGCTCGAAGAGTTAAAACAAAATGCCCCCACCGTGGCCGAGCCTCCGCGCGGACGCGCGGAGCTCTGGTCTCGGTCGGCTGCTCAGGCGGGGGGCACTCTGGCGAGGTCGGCAGTTCGCCCCGCTCTCGCGCGGGACCCGCTGCCTCAAACGCTCACCCGCGCTGCTGCGAACGAAGGAGGCGCCGCGCCCGCGCGGGACGCCACCTCGGGCGGCACTTCGCGCGGGAGGGGCCCCCCGCCCCACTCCTGCCACGCAACATGTAGCGATGGCGTCGTGATGTCCATGTGGAGACAAGCTGTAACGAGGACGTCATGATGTCCATGTGGAGACAGAAGCATTGGTTGTCTGTTCCCCGGCAGGTGTGATAGGGGCCACCCGGATGGAGTTGCTGCCAGCGGGTCTTGTGGGTCCCATTCAGGAGTGCGGACAACATGGAAAGGGGTGAGAAGGGGAAGCAGGAGTAGGACGACCGTTGGGGCGGCGATCAGCAAAATGGCTCTTCTCTCACGACGCAGGGGATCCATTCCGCAGCCCACATGGTAATGACACTGCTTTCCGCATCCCAGGTGAATCAACCTCCTGACACTCAAATTGGCAGGGACGCCATAGCAGTGTCCGTTTCCGTGCCTGTCTTCGAACCGTTCTTTCTCTCTCTCTCTCTCTTTCTCTGTTCCTCTCGTTCTCTGTCTCTTTCTCTTGTTCTCGCTCTCTCTCGCTCTGTCTCTCTCTGTCTCTCTCTGTCTCTTTCTCTCCCTCCCTCCCTGCCACTCCCTCCCTCTTTCTCCCTCTCTCTTTCTCACCCTCTCCCTCGCCTCCCTCTCTCTCTCTATTCCTCTCGTTCTATATAGACATGCATACACATATCTATATATATATATATATATATCAGAGTGAGGGGGCTGAACCGAACGGTCATTCACTGCCCCTGGGTGCGTGGCTGAAGTGAAATTCCGCGATGCGGATTCTTGCTACCTAACAGCTTTTGCTGATAGGTTTCTAGTGGTCTCAAAAGAGAGCAGCAGATGACTCCACAGCGGGGTCGGGGCGGGACCCGGGGCGGTGCCGCCGAAGCCCAAATCGCTTGGGACATCCTCGCGAAATCGCTCTTGGTGCTCCCAGAACTCCATTCCCGG